TGCAGTAAGCTCAAGTGTCACAAGTATCCACTTAAGATGCCATGTAATGCTAATCATCTCCAAGTGAACCCTACATCATACAGTAAATTCCATATTGCAGCAAAAATGATCTCTCATGGTGCTTGTATTATTTTTCATCATGTTTAGTGCAATACTGTAAACCTTGAACATCACCATGGGACCCATATGAAGTATCACTAGTGATGCTGGAAGTGCTCCCTAGAAGTAGAGAACAATCATTACAAGAAAAAGTTGAATTGCTAGACATGTACTGTAGATTGAGGTCTGCAGATGTGGTTGCCCATAATTTCAAGATAAATGAATCCAGTGTAAGGATCATGGTGGTAGCAGGAGGACTTTGTGGAGCCATCACTGAAGCTATGACAGCAGGCATGAAAACCTTGAAATTTCTGTAAAATACCTTTTTATCTTATATTTAAAATACAATGTGAGTATAGAATTGCTATAATAAAGGCATACTCTAGTAAGACTTGAAGCCATTACATGACAACTTAAAGCAAAAGGAAGGTGAAAGATTGAAAGCTGGAGAATTTAATGTCAGCAAAGGATGGCTTGACATTTTTAGAAAGAGGTCTGGCTTCAAAAAATGCGTAACAGGAGAAGCAACTTCTGCTGACAAAGAAGCACCTTGCCAGTATGGGACTGTCTTTTAAAGTTCTTTAGATATTGGACAATGCCCGGGTCACCCAGTCCCCAGGAGTTCAACAACAAAAGTGTAAAAGAGGTCTACTTGCCCTCAAACACAGTATTACTAATTCAGATCTAGATTAGGGGGTCATAAGGACCTTTAAGTATCATTACACATGGTAATCTACAGAAAAGATTGTCAATGCTATGGAAATGGACCATAAAGAGAACATCATGAATATCTGAAAGAATTAAATCACAGAAGATGCCATTGTTACAAAAATAGCCATGAAATCTATCCAGCCCAAAACAATAAATTGATCCAGAAAAACTGTTTCCAATGGTGTATATGACTACATAGGTTTTACAACAGAGTCAATCAAGGATATCATAAAAGAGACTGCGGATATGGCCAAAAAAAAAAAAAAAAAGTGGGGGGAAAGTGGAAGAGTTTCAAGATATGGATCTTGGAGAAATTCAAGAGCTGGCAGACACAGCATCACAGGAATTAACAGCAGATGACTTGATGGACATGAGTGCTTCCAAACCAGTGCCAGATGATGAGAAAGAAGATGTAGAATAACTAGTTCTAGAAACAAATTGATATTAGACAATATGACAGAAGGATTCCAGTTATTCAAAAGACTGCTTTTAACTTCTTTTACAACATGATATAGATACCGAAATGAAAGCAAAAAGTGGAAGGATAGGTAACATAGAGAAACATTTTTAAAGTAACATTTTTAAGGAAATAAAAAATAAGACAGAAATTACAATGTAAAGTTACAGTGAGCCCATCCTCTTCCTCCTCTTCTGCCTCTTCAGCTTACTCAGTATGAAGACTACTGGGATGAAAATGTTTATGATGATCCACTTCCACTTAATGAATGTACTAATCCGTTAAAGAACTGACCGAGACCGTGTAATTTATTAAAAAAGAGGTTTAATAGACTCACAGTTCTGCATGCCTGCAGAAGCCTCAGGAAACTTATAATCATAGCAGAAAGGGAAGCAGGCATGTCATACAAGGTAGCAGGCAAGGTAGACCACATGAAGGAAGAACTGTCAAACACTTATAAAACTATCAGATCCCATGAGAACTCACTCACTGTCATAAGAACAGCATGAGGAAAACTGCCCCAATGATCCAATGACCTCCCACAAGATCCCACCCTCAACATGTGGAGAGTATGGGGATTAAAATTTGATATGAGATTTGGGTGGGGACATAAAGCCAAACCATATCAATACATATATTTTCCTTATGATTTTCTCAATATTTTCTTTTCTTGAGCTTAATGTGTTAAAAAAAATACAGTGTATAATACATATAATATACAAAATACATGTTGTTCAACTATTAATGTTACAGGTAAGGCTTCTGGTCAACAGTAGGGCCTTAGTAGTTAAGTTTTTGGGGAGTCAAAGTTATATGTGGATTTTCAGTGACACAGGGGAGGGGAGTGCCTCTAACCCTCACATTGTTCCAGGGTTAGCTGTGTTTACTAAAGAAATATGTATACTTATGGGATACTGCACACTCTTCAAGCCTTATATTCCAAGTGGATACCACTACCCTCATTTCCTGTTCTGCATTGATTTTTCAGGAGGTAAATATATATATGTGTATATAAATATATATGTATATAAATATATACACATAAATATATATATTTTTTTAATACCACAATAAATCTAAAAAAAACTCCAAAAGGAATGTAGCAAAATTTAATTTTGAAACTGATATAAAATATCCTGTAGCACTTTTGTGAGTCTGTTGTAGTACCCTGGGGTGTCAAAGCACAGTTTGGGAACTGTGGCTCTACTTGAATTAAACACCTTGAGATAAGTCTTTTTATTTGAGAGAGCTAAAGCCCTTCTTGAGCATGGTTTAGAGTACTTGGAAAACGGAAGTACTTTATTCTGCATGACATAGCATAAGTAAATCTGTATATGAAGGTGGCATTCTAGAGAGCAAAGTAAGAGGATTTTATAAAGAGATGGACTCTGACAAGGTGATGGCAGCTGGTGCCCTGTAGATAAAATATGGCCAGTAAAAAACTGCCTGTGCCTGGGATAAGTGAACAACTTCAGTAATGCTGATAACTAGTAATCAGTTTTGTTTCTTATCCTATGTAGTGTTATAATTATTTTCCATCAACTAAACCTTCCATAAAAATTAGCTCTTTACTTACCTAATATGTATAATTTTTGTGCCCAATGAAGTATTAATCTCAGAACTTTTATCTCTGTCTCAAAATTCAGTGTCTAATGTCCTATCAATTTTAATTGTACAGCAACTCCTGCAACTATGTCACTCTTCCTATTAATATAACTTTAGTTGATAACTCTCATTACTTTGTAAACACTACTGTAACACTTTACCGTTTTGGCAAAGCTCCTTTGTTCAAAAAACTTTAAGTGACTCATTTCCTAAACAACAGTAGTTCAAGTTCCTGAAGTGGCATTAAAAATTCTCTAAATCTGACAGAAATCTATCTTTCCTATATTATATCTGATGATTCACATTTACAAAACTCTTACTTTGACCATATGGAGTTTCTACCTAGCCTAAGTATAAATCCTATACATTTCTATATCCTTTCCTTTGTTGATTATATTTATTCACTCTGCAAAATCTGCTCTTCTTCTTCCACTTGGTCAACTAAAGCAAGGACCGGCAAGTGTTTTCTGTAAAATGCCCCAATAAATATTTTAGGTTTACAGGCCACATGATTGATCTCTGTCGCAACTATTGTTAACTTTGCTATTGTGGTGTATGGCTCAGAGTCCATACTTCATTGACCTCTGAATTAAAAGGAAAGAAGGAAGCTGGGCGCGGTGGCTCAAGCCTGTAATCCCAGCACTTTGGGAGGCCGAGGCGGGTGGATCACGAGGTCAAGAGATCAAGACCATCCTGGTCAACATGGTGAAACCCCATCTCTACTAAAAATACAAAACATTAGCTGGGCATGGTGGTGCGTGCCTGTAATCCCAGCTACTCAGGAGGCCGAGGCAGGAGAATTGCCTGAACCCAGGAGGCAGAGGTTGCGGTGAGCCGAGATCGAGCCATTGCACTCCAGCCTGGGTAACATGAGTGAAACTCCATCTCAAAAAAAAAAAAAAAAAAGGAAAGAAGGAAATGCATACTAAGTAGGAATGAAAACAACAACCCAGATAAAAATAACATCGGAGATAAATATTAATATGAAATCCATTTAGGGTGGTAAAGAAATTGTAGCTTTCTCTTAGTAATGAAGAACATAAAGAAATTGAATGTTAAAGTGGATTTAGAGACAAAGAAACAAATCATTACATTTCCTAAAGTTTTCCCTTAAAATGAGGACACATGACTATTTTCTGAGGCTAGCACTAAATCAATACAAGTCCTTTACATTAGAATTTAACACCCAATTTCCAGTGGATACTACATTATCTTGTTTTAGTTACTGCTGCTTTCTATCTCTAACTCCCAACCCGACTCAAATGTTTCTCCCTAGATGCCTTTCAGGATAGTTTTGTTGAAAACAGATCTTCTAGCTTCACCAACAAGACAAGATCATTTACATAATATTTTTACAATCTATATGCTTTTGTCTATTGAAAGAAACAAAAACTGTCAAGTAGTAGAATGTGCTAATAATTACGCAAAAATTGTTTTGAATTTTTTTAATTAAAAAAAAAAAGAATTTTAATCATAGAAGCATGGGATTCATAAGCCAGGCAAATGTGGACTACATTTAAAATATAGGTGCTTTATGTGATTGTGAAAGTACTGCAGGGAATAAACCTCTTCTAATTTAAGTTCTGGCTTGCTTTTTGGCAAATTACTGCAATAAACACTCTCTATGGCTACCTTTCTTATATGCGGCACAAAGTAAGCTGTGCTTCTTTGTCTTTACTTTTATGTTAGTTTACTTTTAAACTAATACTTTCAGTATGTTCCCATGAAATTTTTTAAAAAACATAGCAATAGATAATAAAGCAGCATGTGAGTTTAAAAAGAAATCGCTGGGCTAAAAATCCAGATACTCAAATTCTGGTCTGGGTTTGGACTAAATACTAGGCAATGTGAGCAATATATAGTATTTAATCTTAATGAGCTTTAGTTTTTTTATTTGTAAAAAACAGACAGGATATCGGGTTGGATGAACTTTGAGAGACACCTTCATTTCAAAAATGCTAGAATTCAGTTAAGTTTTAAATTAACTGATTTCTTTAAAAAATTGAGGTGATGGGGGGATGGAGGCAGCAAACCACTATGGCATGTATATACCTATGTAACAATCCTGCAAGCTCTGCACGTTCCCCAGAACTTAAAGTATAATAAAAACATAAAAATAAAAATAAAAAATTGAGGTGAAATTCACATAAAATTATATTCACAGTGTTGTGCAACCATTATCTCTATCTACTTCAAAACATTTTTAGCACCCTAAGTAGAAACCCTATCTTCCTATTAAAAATTTATTCCCCATTCCTCACTACATACAAGCCCCTGGCAACCACCAATCTACTTTTTGTTTCTACGGATTTACCTATTATGGCTACTTCATATAAATGGAATCAAATAATATATGCTCTTTTATGTCTGGCTTCTTCCATTTTCATGATTTTGAGGTTCATTCACATTATATCATGTATTAGTACTTTATTCCTTTTTATGAATGAATGATATTGCATTGTATGGATCTATCACAATGTATTTATCTTCCTGCTTGTGGACATTTAGGTTGTTTCCATAACTTAATTTTTTTCGCAGAATATGTTCAGAAGCAATAATTAACATAAAAACATGTACACATCAAAGGTACACTTTCAAAAAAGATTTAAAGGGATACTCTGAATAGGGAGTCCCTTTCGTCCAAAAACTGACAAATCTTGGTGAGCCAGAAATGAAACTAGTTGCAACTTCTGATTCATGAAACTAATAATTGAGGTTTTAGTGTAAATTTTATAAATACAAAATTTTAGATGATGAAAAAGTTTAAGAAATACATGGCTCAGGCTCTGAAAGAGAAGTAACAGAGAATACAAGTGATCTTGAAGAACGTAATTGAAGATGATTGCTCTTTTTGGCGGTATTTTACCATTAAGTGATTTTAACTAGTTTTAACTTAACAGATCACAAAACAGTGGTACTACCAGACACAGTTGTTTTAAATCTAAGTTAAAAATGGCAAAAATGCAATCATTTTTCTGGGTAATTGTTTTGGCTCTCTGAAGTTTGCATTGTTTATTTCTATAAAAGTATCACTTTATAAATGGAAAATGACTAAGCTGAAAGCTATTGTTTATATCATTCAAAGTAGTCAGTATTTCTGTTTTTGATAAGAGCTAAACTTGAAATCATTTTCTGTAACATTGGAAAGAGCCGAACTGTCAATAAGTGCACTTATATTGACCCTGACGTATTCTTCTTAGGTGCTGCCAACATGTGAAAAGGAAAGGGCTGCTTTCAGACATCAATAATTTCTTTATTGCTGAATCAAATCCTGATCGCTGGAGGATTAATTGCTATCCATTTGCACCAATAGCACAAGAAGTCAAAAAGGGATAGATAGGCCTTGACCCTAGATAGGAAACCTTTCAAACCAGTTTCTCACTTGCTCCATGACATTGGAAACTTCAAATGTGATTTTAACATTAAACCATTTATTACTTAGATACGAATTGTCTTCTGAGTATTACTAAGTTATAGAATTTGATGTCATTTTTAAAATAAGAAAAGTACTAAAATCCATTTTTAATACTGACATAAGATAGTAGTTCTCAAAGTATAATTTCTGAATCATTTGGAAAGTTGCTAAAAATGCAAATTATTGGTCACCCCAGACTTAATAAATCAGAAACCTGTGTGGGTAGCCCACAGCAATGTGTGTTTTCCCAAGCCTTCCAGGTGATTTTGCAAACCATTGATTAAAAAAACAACAACACAGAAATATCCATTTATTATCTTACGATTTTTATCCATCCAGAAAAATTCAGAATCTTCACGAAGATGGCAAAAAGGAGGCCCGCTACACAATGTAAAACTTGGCTGTCGTGGGGGAAAAAGTAGTGTTGTCAAGGCTATAGTACAGAACACTGTACTGTGGAAACACTGGAGGTAGTGTTTCTTTGTTCCAAGAGGCAGTTCTAATATGATCTGGATAAAAAATGAAGCTTAGTTTCCCTGCCACTATGGCAATGGCCTGACCACAGCAGTTCTGCTACTAACTGGCTTATAGTTTTGGGCTTCTAAATTATTTCCCATGGGCTTCTAAATTATTTCCCATTTAGTTCTGCAGCTAAACATATTTGATCTTTCAATCCTCTCATTTTGCAGATGAAATTAACAGCCCAGAAATGTTGCCTAACTCACCTATGCTCATACAACTAATGATGTGAGGAGGCAACAGCATTCCAGGCTACTGACGTATCTATCTGCTCTCTCTGTCATACACATCCCTGCCATTGTTCCATAATTAGTGAGACAACCTAAAAAAAAAAAAAAAAAATCAGGGAAAACAGAACAGTATAAGATTGGGGAGAAGAGGAAATACATGGCAGAAGTGTCTTGAATTAGCTCTGAATTTGTTTCTGATTTCTTGACAGTGAAAGCAAAAAGTAAGACATGTTTAGTTTTCTACTTTTCATTCTTGAAGAGATAAAAATGTCACTTTCTTATAAGAAACAAGTGATATTAAAATGAACTCTTCATAACATGTTAAACATTAATTAATACAAAAGACTATGTTGTCCTCAACAACTTCTCAACAGCAAGCTCAGACTGTTTATTGTAGTATTCCTCAATGAAAGATAAAGGCTTCAATATAAAAAAACAACTCAGAAATTAGGTAGGTATTGTGGCACACGCCTGTAGTCCCAACTACCAGGGAGGCTGAGGTAGAAGGATTGCTTCAGCCCCAGAATTTGAGGTTGCAGTGAGCTAAGATCATACCGCTGCATTCTAGTGTGGGTGACACAGCGGGATCCTGTCTCAAAAAGCAAAAAGCAACAAATCAATATACGTCAGGGTAAAGGGTTTTTCTATAAACCGTCTTCAAGTAAACAGTTTTTCTGATGGTCTAAGCATAAAATGTAGAGTTTCTAAAGAAAAGGATAGATTATATATGTTCCTTAAATAATCTTCTATCAATATCAGTTCTCTATAGCAGAACAAGAAGAGTTGAATAGTAGACAGCTTGAGGTTTTACTTTCTGTAAAATTCTTCTTATTTGGTATGAATTTCACAATATCACATGCCCATTCTACTACAGAGGTTTTAAAATTAAACAATTTATCATGGAAACCTAATCAGTGGCAAAATCTTATTGATTTACAAAAGGTAAATGCTCATATAAACAGATGTACTGACTATCCTATAACAAAACAAAAGTTACTCATGTGACACTTTCTCAGAGAGGTCTTTCTCAACTATTGTAGGTAGCACTAGAATGTCCCCAAGTTCTTGACTGATACAGCTATACATTTAGAGAGAGTCTTGTTTTGTTGCTCAGGCTGAAGTGCATTGGCTACTCAAATTCCTAGGCTCAAGGGATCATTCTGTCTCTGCCTCCCAAGCAGCTGGGACGACAGGAGTGTACCACTGCACATAGCTTGTTTATTTTTAAACATAGCATTAATCACTACCTAACATTATAGTATATATTCACTTATTTGTTTTATTCTTTGTCTCTACCACTGGAATATAATATTTATGAGGACAAAGACATTTGTTTTGTTTATTACTATATCCCTGGAACCATGCCTGGCACATAGCACTCACTAAACATATTGTGAATGAATGAGTCTGCTCATAATGAAGAGAGATGTGGGAGAAAAGACGGTGTATAAAGTTAAAATAAATTGAGGAATTCCAGATAGCTGAAGCAATGGTTGCCATCTAAGCCCTGTCTCCCTCCGAAAGAATATAGAACAAGGACAGAAAAATAAATCTACAAAAACACAATGTCTGAAGACAAAAAGAATGCCTAAACTTCAAAATAACTATGAGTGGAAAAAAAAAAAAAAGCACCACATCCCAGTGTAAAACTTCCTACACTTAAGCACCACCCCTACTCTACCATACAGCCATGTGGAGACGAATGTACAAATGTTATTTTCTGGGACAAAGCAGAAATAATGTAACTAGAGTATGTAAGATAAGAGAAGGGGGAGCCAGACAAGGTGGCACATGCCTGCCTGTAGTTCCAGCTATTTGGGAGGCTAAGCAGAGAGGATCACTTGAGCCCAAGCATTTGAATCTAACCTGGGCAACATAGTAAGAGTCTATCTCTTAAAAAAAGAAAGAAAGAAAGAAAATGAGAGAGGAGGAGAAGAAAACAGAATAGGCTCTGTTTGGACTGCTGTAAAAGCAATAAGTGAGGCCTAAATGATAAAAGCATATAGTAAAAGGTTAAATAAAATAATAGAGGACTTAGCTATTTTTAAGTACTGACACATTTTAATGATGGGTCAATGAATGATGTGGAGTTGATTTTAAGATAGTATTTCTGGCTGGGCATGGTGGTTCATGCCTATAATCCCAGCACTATGGGAGGATGAGGCAAGAGGATCACTTGAGTCAAGGAGTTCAAGACCAGTGCAGGCAACACAGCAAGAAATTTTAAACATAGTAGGGCATGGTGGCTGCATTAGTCCATTCTCATGCTACTATGAAGAAATACCCGAGACTGAGCAATTTATCAAGAAAAGAAGTTTAGTTGACTCATAGTTTCACATGGCTGGAAGCCTCAGGAAACTTACAATCAAGGCAGAAGGCACCTCTTCATAGGGTGGCAGGAGAGAAAAGGAATGCAATCAGTGGAAATGCCAGATGCTTATTGAACCATAAGATCTTGTGAGACTCACTCATTATCATGAGAACAGCCTGGAGGAAACCATCCCCATGATTCAATTACCTCCACCTGGTCCTGCCCTTAACAGGTAGGGATTATTACAATTCAAGGTGAGATTTGGGTGGGGACACAGAGCCAAACCATTTCGGTGGCACATGCCTGTAGTCCAAGTTACTTGAAAGGCTGAAAAATTAAAACTAACCATGTTAGTAAACAAACTAGAAGATATTGATAATCCTGGATTACAATTCTGAGGTCAGATAGTATATGGTAAAAAGGTAACTAGATTAGCAGAGGGAAGAAAGCTAAAGTATAAAAGCCTACGAAGAGGAGATTCCAACAAAAAACAAGTTTATTCACCCCCCAAACCCTAGAAAATTCAGAAAATGGTGGTACCAGGTAACTAGTAGGGCTAAAAATAGGAAGATAATTAAGAGTAGAACTTTCAGACCCCATTCCCACTTCATACAGCCTCACAAGAATCCTTTTCCTACCCCTGCAAGATAACGGAGGAAAGGTAGGCTAGGAAAGAATTGGAAAGGCTTCAGCCTCAGGAATTCCAAGCACAAAGGAAGATAGGGAAATGGGTGAAGTGCTGAACTAAGAACAGGCTGGGCTGGTTATGTGAACATTTATATACCAAATACTCCTTCTGACTCTTCCTGATCAGTACTCAGGCTTAAGTTCACCCAAAAAGAAAATTAGAGAATCCAATTGTCCTTGGAGATATTTAATAGCCCTCGAGAAGGCACATGTAAATTACTTCCCCTATGAAAAACTGTCTTTTACTCAGATACCCTAAGAAGGTTGAAAGGTCTCATTTTGTACACAGTTTAGTGCATCACTCTTAAATATAAAGGCACAACCAGCATTATCAGACACTTGAGAAGAGTATCCAAAAAGCTGAATTCCAATGAAAGAGAAAAAAAAAATCAAAAAGAAAAAATAAGAAAAACAGGGAATCAATCCAGGAAGTCAAATTTCATTAAAAAAAATCACAGAACTAATTCACTGTCTAGATTTATAGGGAACAATGTATTAACATAATGAATTAATGAAGAGACCTACATCATTATTATTTATCATAAAATGTTAGAAAACCAGGGAGAGATCATAAATGCTTCTAGAGAAAAGACAGATCACATATAAAGTCTTAGAAAAAAGAAGAAAAATGAACCAGACTTCTCAAAAACAATATATAAGTTTAGAATATAATAGAATTTTCTCCTTAGAATTCCACATGGAGCCCAACTATTAATCCAGAGTGAGTAAATGAAGATACTTTGAAACACACTGCTTCTAAAAATATTTATCTCCCTTGTATTCTTTCACAGAAAGTTAATGAAGTATGCGAGCCATCAAAATAATTTGGCCCAGTGTGCTGGCTCACGCCTGTAATCCCAACATTGGAAGGCTTGAAGTGGGGAGACTGCTTGAGGCCAGGAGTTCGAGACCAGCCTGGCCAACATGGCGAAATCCCATCTCTACTAAAAATATAGAAATTAGCTGGGCGTGGTGGTGCACACCTGTAATCTCAGCTGTTTGGGAGGCTGAGGCAGGAGAATCACTTCGGGGGGGGGGGAAGAGGTTGCAGTGAGCTGAGACCATGCCACCCAACTTGGGCAAAAGAAAAAGGGCGAGGCTAAAAAAAAAAAAAAAAAAAAAAAAAAAAAAAAGCTTTCAAAGCACATGGTTTATGATTACCTATACAAATTAAAGCTCATAGCCATTTAAAAAAATTGTTCAAGAACACACAACTAAATGATATAAGCTAGGAGGAATCTCTTAACTCAAAAAAAAAAAAAAAGAACTTAACTAAGGAAGAATATAAGGAACTCTAAGAAATGAGGATTTAACATAGGCCAGAGGTGAAGGGAATTTTAGGATGATGGTGAAGGGACATCCCAGATAAAAACTTAGAGTAGAAAAATAAAAGCTTCAGAAGCAGGATCTTCAAGATGAACAAACAAAAAATGCTAGTGGTACGTTTAACTGATAACTCACACTTTATGCACAAAATAAACATGAGAAGCTATTGGAAGGTATGTGTATGAAAGTCACCACAGGCATAAAGAAAACTAAGGAAATAAAAAGATGAGGGAATTCTAAACTCCAGGAGAAAGCTGTAAAACATCATAGAATATAATTTGTCTCAGAAATTAATAATATATACATCTGTATATTATTTATGCTGAAAATTGATTTATCAAAATATCGGAGAATTGGGGAGGAAGAGAGGACAAGATGTATGTATATAAGAGAGATAAATGTTTATCTTATCATAGTAGGAAGTTGGTAAGCACATAATATCTAATCTGGATGGATTAGGTGATAAAAGTATGGAGATAGATAAAAGAAGAAATAGCTAAAAGAGTTGTCAAAGTACAGGGCAGGGTATTGCTCTTTTCCAAAGTATACTCTTAAGGACAAAATCAGTAAACTATGTACATATATTGTTTTAAAGTACTAACTTAAAAAAATTTTAAGATTTAAAATAATCATAAATAATCCTATTTCATCATTCACTATACTGAATCAAAATTTAATTTACCAGGTCTCTATGTTTCTCTCCTATTAAATGACTGCCTTACAACAAGAATTTAAAGTACTGCATATCCTATGAAGTATGTTACAAATATATGTTCTGCATTAAATAACCAAAAACTGTCTTAGGTAAATAAAAAAGATACACATACATATGATGGCTGTTACATCATCTCACTTCTGACCTTACCAAAGGTAAGGTAAAACATTAATGGGAGGTACACATAAAATATTTGATATTTTTAACATTTCCTATGACCTTTCAAAGATCTTTAAAATGATCTATTTCTTTAACTGTCAAGTAGATACTAGCATAATAAAAATTATAATATTGAATATTTGAAAAAGCTATGTGCTAAGAATTGTCCCAAATCAATGTATTATTTTGGGAGGCTGAGGTGAGTGAACCTCCTGAGCCCAGGATTGAGACCAACCTGGGCAATACAGGAAGACCTCATCTTTACACACACACACACACACGTATATAAACGTATACATATGTGTGTATATGTGTGTGTGTAAATATATATAACATATAATATATATAAAATATATATAATATATATATTTATATGTATAAATATATATATAAAATATATATATATATATATTAGCCGGGTGTGTTGGTGCACACCTGTAGTCTCAGCTACTAGGGAGGCCTGAGGTGGTAGGATCACTTGATCCCAGGAGTTCAAGGCTGCAATGAGCTGTGATCATATCACTCACTGCATTCTAGCCTGAGTGACAGACTGAGACTGTGTCTCAATAAAATAAAATAAAATGCATTATCTTATATACTACATGATTTGGTTGTTATTAGCCAATTTTACATTAATTAGGTTCATTTTACAGATGTAAAAATTGAGGCTGAAAGCCAACTAACAAAGGCAGAAAAAATGATGAAATGAAAAAAATCATTATTTGGCAATTTCCATAGTAATAACTGCCTGTAGGAAGAATGGATGTCAAAACCAGTATGTGAACATGTAATGAGAAACAGGATAGTTAGGTACTCTCAGAGTATCTTCCCACAAAATATTCATTATAAAAGAAAAATGGTAAGTTTATGGTAGAGAAATTTGAAAATATAATATTATGATCTAAGGGTAACATCACCAACAATAGGATAAAACAGGTATCATGTACCTCCTAATATAATACATGAAGGATAGGTCATATCCATAGTATTTTAAGAAAAGGTATAACCTAAATCTAATCATAAGGAAACATAAAACAATACCAAATAAACAGCCTGTACTTTCCAAAAATATCAAAGCTATGAAAGATAAAGTCGGATATATTAACGTCACATCAATCATTGACCAATTATGAAAATTTGTTAGTACTTACAAATAGCTGAGTCCTCTGTTAGTTAACCTTTTATTATTTATCTGTTTTGACTGGCATCCTTTATGTCTCATTGCCTTTATAACAGTCCATGAGCTTATTCTGTTTACTTCTCCTTCTCTCTCCTTTTATTTTCCTTCCTTTCTCCCTTTCTCTCTCTCTCTCTCTCAAACTCTTGGGCTCAAGTGATCCTCCCTCCTCAGCCTCCCAAATAGCTAGGACT